GCTGGGGACTTTTTTTTTAACGGCTCAAAGGCGAGTGGCGAAAGTGCCGATGGAGGGGGCGGGCGGTACCGGGAAGGGGGAGCCCCCCATTCCCCCTCCCCCGGGGCTGCCGTTCCCGTTCGGGACGGGGGAGGGAGAGGTTTAGAAATCAACCCGCCACCACCAATTATAAAATACCTGGTCGACGGCCCTTTTTGCTACTAAATAAAGAATGAGGAGTTTAATTTCCCCAAATTTTATTGAAAATGTGTTTCTGCCCAAAGAAACGTTATTGCAAAGATGAAATCTTGCTACAGACAGCGAATTTGGCTGTAATCTCAAGCTTTATCCCAATAAGAAAGCTTTTTTTACTATATTAAAAGCGTAGGGCTTTTCTGCGCCCCATTTAGAAGATTTTTTTAACAGTTGATTAACAACCTTTATTTAAAATTATTCCTAAAAAGTAATTTAAGGAGACTGAATCTTGAAAAGTTTTGCTGTATCATTTATGCACTTTGCCACTTGGAAGATATAAACTGTTTTCCCTGTTTTTTTTAATCAGAATTAAATGGAAAAAAAAAACTTTAATCAAGCTTTTAAGGCTTAGTAGATTCTATATTAGCAAAATTTTTCCCTTTAATACTTTAGTAAGTTTTCTTAAAAATTTGTAACAGACTTCCTACTATCTTAACAACAAATATTTAGTAGCAATGCATAACAAATGTAAAACAGTTAATTTAATAAAAAATGTTAACTATCAGAATCACTAGAGGTAGATGAAAAAATGAATGATTTAACTGGAGTCGCTCTAGAATTTGGTATCAAAGTGTCTGAAGATGGAGCTTTGGTTTCACGAAGGCTCTCTGTGAGCTCTATTAGTGACAAGCAGGTGCCTACCCAGTCATACAAGTACTCAACCAGGACTGAGCCGTGCTTCCACACATCTGCTCTAGGTATACCTGAAACAAAGAAGAGCTGTAACTGCAAAAGGCAACGTCAAAACCGTGACTAGTGGTGCCACCAGACTGAGCGAAGAAGGTCATCCCATGAGTGGAACTTTGCACAAGTCCAGTAATTCCACCTTGGCAAACTGTGATGCTTTGAAGAGACTTACTGTAATGGTTAATTATGGGAAATACTTTCTTTTTATTATAATTTATTTTTTGTTGTGTAATTCCCCTCTTGTACAAAATACTCTGCTGTATACTAATGCTAAACACTGGGTAATTTAAAGTGAAATAAGTGCTTTTTTCCAAATTAAGATATAAGAGTGGTTGTCCTTCAAAGCTCTTTTACTATATACTATTAAAGGTCACCACAGATTCACACCATTAAAGGTTGCTCTGTTGGTAGAGCGTAGGTCATTCTTATACTCTGTTCCATATAACAGGACATGCGTATGGGCATTATCCAGGAACACACACAGTATCTGAGCACTGATGCTCATTTCAAAGGAATTCATATCATAGTGAATCATACCTGTATTCACCCTACTGATTCTTCTAACCCCCTAAATTTGCAATGGATTCAAGTCCCAGAATAAGTTCCATTCTGGAAACTAATATTTTGTGGCATGCCAACAGTTTGCCAACAGTTCGCCAAAGCTGTATTCTCTCTAGTTACATCTAGGTCTTGAACTGGAGGAGGACTGGATGCTTTAGGCCTGCTTCGTTCTCTCCACTAAGTTAGTTTAATATATATGAGGAGAATATATGAAAAGGAACTGTGCATTCATTAATTAACTGCATTAAGTGTTCATTATTCATTATTATAACAAAGGTACATAGGCAGGGCACTTTTGATATACAACTCCAGGTAAATTAACAAGTTTTTGATTTTAAGAGGCTGCTCAGTCTAACATTATATCAACAAGGGAGGGATATCAACAAGAGAGGCACTCGTTTTTCTTGTGGAGATATTACAAATAGTAATAGCCTCTTGACTGCTCTGGCACAAAAAAAGCTCACATTCATTAAACAAGAGAGAAAGACAGACTGATGCCCAGCTCCAGGTTATGGTCGCTTGGTACATGGAGTACCTGGTAGATGGGGTTTACAAAGAGGATGGTTCACATTGTCCTTCCACAATGCTGATGCTATTCTGAGCTGGGTCAGTCCCTAGTGCAGGGCAGGGTAGTCTGAAGTACATGGAACAGCTTACTTACTTACCAAAAGAACCATCATTCTTAATATGTTATCTGCAGGTTTACAATGAGGTCACCTTTTTAATAGATCTCAAAGCTGATCTGCTCCCCTTTCCTTAAGGCAATGAATTTTGATGCTAAATTTAACAGGTTGACCTTTGTTGACTGAAAGATACTGCAGACATTTAGGATCCCGTATCTGTCGTTTAATCTATTGGGAAGCCAAAGCTAGCTTCTGAAGTAAGCACCTTAAAAGCGTTCAGCTGAAGGTTGCCAGTGACACTTTCACTGCTGAGCTGGGTCTGGTAACCCCACAAATAGTTTAGGATATTTACCGGTGATACAGTCCAGCAGCCCCTCTGCTTGAACTTGCACAGATGCAGCAGTTGGATCAAAGCAGTAAATCTTCTGAATCAAATTGTCATCAAGTTTCTGAAAAATTTAAGAGAACATTTCAGAATTAAAGATGGCTAAGTCAAGCATATAGGATATCTGCAGGTAGCACTTCTAAAAAAGATAATTAGAAGAAATGGGAGATTGAAAGGATAAGGTCTGCAAATACACAGTATTCATTTATACTTAATTTGGATGGATATCCTTCCAATGTTCAGAAATAAATTACAAATCTCAGTCTTCATTTTGCATTTAGGCCGATATACAGTAGCTGTAGTCTTATGTCTGTTATATGGATGTGTTTACCATATCTAACAGCTCCTTAACACTGTGTCTCAATGGATGTAATCTCTCCGTCTGTTGTCTAATTCTGTTGCAATTCCTCATCAACAACTGTATTTACAATGCAATTTTTTTAAATGACTTTATCTGGTCATTACTTATGCATGAACATATCTACAGTGCTCACTTGCCCATTCTCCACTTCAAAAAAAATAAAATTGGTTTATTAAACTGGCCAGCCCTTTTCGTGTGACATGCATCAAATTATTTCACTGCCTATCCACCCTTGGCAAATTCCACTGTATCTTCTTGGGGGCAGAAGAACAGAAAAAATGCCTCAGCATTTCGAATTCTCACCAGTATACACTGACTCCAGTTCTCAGTCTTCTCAGAGCCTTTCCACTTTGGATAGAGGAGCAACAGCACAGCCGTTACTATGTTATGTACCAGAGCTGGAGGTTCTACATAGCTCTTTATTTCAGCAAAGTCCTCAGCTTCAAGTTTCTGGACACACTCACGCAGGTCCTGCAGCATGAACCGGTGGAAAAGAATCCCTGCATGCCTCAAACTTGCCGCGTGTTCTGCCTCTGGAATCACAAGCCAACCTTTCAAGAAGCTGCTCATAAACATCTGCTACTCTAGACATGTTACTGACTGAAAGGCTCTGCCCTATTTATGATTAACTCTTTTTCTTCTTGAGTAAGTGACTGATTTTCACACAGCCCAAGTATTCTATGAAACATCTCAAAATGCAGATGTTGCCTGAGGAGAAAAAAACTTGCTGTAACATAAGTGTGATGTGTGGAGAACACAGAATATTCCAAGGGAATTTCATAGGTGCCATAAGTGTTGCAGACCTTTATGTTCCCAGGCCCACTGTGTTCCCAGGAGAACAGGAGCCACTGAGGGAGTAATTACTACAACCTCCCCCGTGCAACTAATGCACCTCCACTAGGAGAGACTCATTCTGGTTCCAGAGTCGAGACAAACAGAAAAGACAAATGATATCAAGACTGCACCCTGGTCTGGAGACCTGCATGCCCATCCTGACACAGCAAGCAGGTTTGGCATTGCGTTAGCCTGGGTGCTGTGTCAGACAAAGGCCTAAGGGACTAGCAAGGGTCTTGACACCATGAAGGGTTCAGGGATGCAGGTAATTCTGGAACTGTGACACTCAGATTCTTTTGATCTTACTTGGAGCAGTTCTGAGGAGGACATGCTAGATACCCAAAGGCAGTAAAGCATCTTTCTCTCTTTGATTTCAGTGGGACTTGGGCACATAAATGCCTCGTAAACCGGAGTCACAGTCTAGATATTCTACTTACTGTACTCTGCTAAGTACTTAGGCTTGTTCAGTAGTTTACATGTACCAAAGGTTTATATTTGTCTTTTCACACTTGTATGAATGATACTTCAGATGTGATTTTACTGAGATACCTGATTTCACCCCCCTAAAAAACAGTTTGGCTCTGTATGCACAATACCCAGTACATAGATTGGTTCTGTTTCCCCTGAAGACATCTTCAATATCTCAGAGCAGGCAGCTTGGACCATCTTCAGCATTTTCTGCAGGTCTTTGTGTTCATGGGGTGGTAATTGCTGGTGATGCCCAATACTGAGATCTAATACCCCAAGAGCTTTTCCTGATAGATCACGGAGAGGTATTGCAAAGTGGTATTCTCCACAGACGTATGTGCCAATGACCTGTGAACTGTCTGTGCATTTAAACAGGTAATCTCTAAAATGAGAGTGAAAAGAGAAATATGTCCTAAGTTTTATAATTCCAGTCTTTTAGGTATTTATGTAGCACATTTTAGTAAGAAGCCATTCAGCTCTTGTTATTGAAACAAAGGTATTATATTACTAAATCAGTGGCTTATTTTCTTGCAGCTTAATTATGAACCGATTTAAGTATCATTCAGGCCACATACAGAAAGAAGAAAATAGCATCTTGGAACACAATCCTGCTTAGCCAAGGCAATTGCTGAAAATCATGAGAGTTTAACAAACTCATATTAAGTTGCAGTCTTGCTTTAAAAACAGCTTCCTGTTTATAACCATGTTGACATTTGCTCTATAGAGTTTTATAAGAAGTAAAAACAACTGCTGGAACAGCAAATGACTGTTCAACCAAGTTTGACAAGGATGATGTGTTTAAAGACAAGTCTGTGAGGATCTTGGTAGTTGAAGGAAACAGATAGTTGAAGGAAATGAGACTAATATAGTCAGGAAAAAAAGACAGATTAATCTAAGAGCAAAATGCTACAGTGTAGGCTCTGATCCTGCAAACCTTTCACAACAGGCATAGAGCTTGCTTGGCAGCTCGTCTGGCAAGCATTATATTAGAAGCTAAGGTTTTACAGGCCTAACCTCAAAGAAAATGTTCCTTACCCCTTCATAAGTCAGTATCACATGCATACACACCAGATGCCATGGTAGTAACAGAGCTACAGGCAGACATCCTTGTAGGCTTGCGTTCCCACGGGCTTTATGTAAGGTGTACCATGCCTGACGCAGGCTATAGTTTAGGATCAGAGGTAACTGGTTAGTTTGCAGGTGCCAGAACCCACCTTAAAAGGTTCTCTTTTCTGAGGAGAAGAACAGGAGAGGTATGAAGTTCTCTTTGCCCTGTATGATCTGTAGTAATCATCTTCCGCAGAGCATAGTCACACGTCTGTTAGAGAGACAGGGAGGTTTAGCTTCGTCCCTGAAAGGAATAGCCATTCGGAAGCTTGGAGAGAGAGGAAACTTTATTTCTCAAAGGAAAGCTCCCATTTACATTCAAGTACAAAGGGATGGTTTAAAGACATCTCCCAACAATGTCTCGTTTTATTGCCAGAATGTATTGCTCAAGATGCATGAAGAATGTGCCTGGATCTCCTTCAGCTAGACTATTTAATCCATCCCCAGGCTCCCACACTGATGAACAGCCACAGATCAGGGAAGAGGTTTCCTATGAACCTTTCTTTTTCATATCCTTTTACAGCCCTTTCTTATGTCATGTTCATTTTAGCATACCTTGATATGTGAAAAGCACAGGGGGGAGCAAAAGGCCTGGCTATCAGGCAGCTAACAAAGGGACAGTGCAAAGCCTGGAATGACAACAGTACACTGCCAACACAAACCCTGCTTATCAGAGGAAGCAGATGAATTATGGTTACAGAAGATGTCACACAGACTTTGCAGTGACACAGGATCAGTCCTAAATGCTGCATACACTTGCTTTTTGTCTTAACTCACTGTTGTGTGAACTGACAAGCTTCCCAGGGCCCAAGTGCCTGCTGAATAGCTGGAATATGATCTGCAGGGAAGTGGGCTGCCCTTACAAGCTAGCTGATTGGGAGCAGCCACTTCCGGAGTTGTATTTACGTTTTGGTTGCTAACATTGGTTCAGGACAAAGAGCTAGGATGTTAGCTCTCTTCTTTTTTCCATATCATAATTTTTGCACACGTAGAATCTCCACAAAGAGCAGATCTCTCTGAGGAGGGCCAAATTAGCAGAGCTTTAGCAGGGAGTTGCAATGCTGGTTAGCCAGCTGCTGGATGGATGTATTTCTGGGTAGGTGTACAGTTTTGCTTTGTTCGTTGTTATGCAGCCATTAGCACTGAGGTAGGAGAATATTCCCTTGTCCCATGGAGAAAGGGCTGCTGTAGGAGTGCTGCTGAGATGTGTTACATGGGACGATGACAAGAACGAAGAGTGGCCTCTTTTAAAGAGGGAACCTTCCCTCTCTACCTGAATTACCCATTTGATACATAGGCAGGCACAAGAATCTCAGACAGGCTTCTGTTTTGATGTTAAAGCCACGAGGAAATGACAGGCAGTTAGAAATGGCAGGTCTTCACCAAAGTAGCTCCACCAGCCCCTGACTATTACAGGCCTTTTCACTGCAGTACCCTGTGTACCTTATCTTGGCCAGGCTCCATCATATATACAATAACAGTGGAGATGTTGGGTGCTCTTGGATACAACCAGTCCAGAGCAGTGAGCGTCACTTGCAGAACATTTTCCAGTGTGCAGACATGGTGGTAGGCTTTGCTGAATGCATGAGAAACTCCCTGTGAAAGCAGAATTCTCCAAATGAGCCAGACATTTCCATATGACTTGGGGATAAAGCTGAGGAAATGTTCATGCAGCAAAATGAAGCAAAATGGTTGTTACAAGTCACTTCACTCAGAACTTGTAATGCTGAAAAGCTACAATGAAATGTTCCTTATCAAATAAGGCTCTAAGGCTCCAGAGCACCCTGGTCACAGCCAAGTCCTAAACTAGATGAAGTTGTTTTTTAGTGGAAAGAGCCAAATTCTTTGCTAATGTTAGCTTACTGCGCTCCCTGCTGCCCAGATGATGCATACACAATGAGGCTGGTTCTAAAGAGAGTTACTAGCACCCCAAAGAAATCTGAACAGCCATTGCTTATAATTAGTCCACCATGTAAAAGGTGAAATCTCATGACACTTTACGGAAACAAACACAAATAAGAGGTCTAGAGCTTCAGTAAATGAATGCTACTATTTTTGGGCTTTGCACAAATCTGCAATTAATTTACTAGTCCGATCTACAGGAGAAGCTTACATAAATTATTGAGAAGGTGAAACCTGATATTCGATTACAGGTAAGACAGTAAAAAGTAAGATACTAATAAGGTGTTCTGCTCACGCCAGTTTCACCACAAACAGTAAAAAGGGACCCACAGTTCCTTTCTGAGACGTACATCTTTGTCTACTCAGAGCAAGCCTGTAAAATTCACGTGGTCTTTACCCAGTTTTTTGAAGAGTAGTCTAACAAACTGCCTTCTCATGGTGCCTACCTGATAGAAACTGATCTCATGGGCCAGAAAGATGGTTTTCTCACACTTGTCCCGAAGTGTATCAAGTGCTAGGATTCCAAAGACTCTCCAGTGAGCATCTTGCAATGGCAGTACCAGGAATGAACCTCTTCTCTCCTCAACTGGGCGGTCATAGTTCCAGAAGTGGATGTTTCCATGGAGCTGAACTTTTGGAACATGGATTGGTTTCCCCTCTTCAACAGCTGCAAAGCTGAAAAAATAACTTATGAGGAGGTTTGTAAGAGTAGTGGAAAATCTTTAGCAAAGTAGAAAGGCAGCTTTGAACTCTCCTTGCTTTAGGCATCAGAGAAGGAAGGTATTAGCTCCTTACTCTGGCCACACCTAGAAATACTGCATTTACTACTTGCCTCTCAAAGTCAGTGGCAAAATGAGGCCCTTTTCATCCTCAAGTCATGGTAAAACCATCAACTAATAAGTGCAATGAAAAAGAATTCAGAGGTGAGCAGCGGCTGTTACATTTAATAGATTAGAAGACGCAAGATTTGAAGAAAGAGACAAATGCATCTAACTTATGGAAACAAGTAGAAAAGAGGCAGGAAAGCTGTTTACACTGTAAACATTAGGGAAGGAAAGGCATTGTTCTCAAAAAATTTCCAGTGGATGTAAAATGCTGTAATGGAATTAATTTTAAAAGAGGAAAATGTAGGCTGAATATAACAGAGGTTCACTAAAGGATGAGATTTATTAGACTGTGAGCTAATCTCCCCAAGGAAAGCAGTGAAATCCCAAACAAAACAGTTATAAGTAGATCATGTAAAGTATAATAATATATATGATAATGAATCATTCCACAGTGGTCTCTGAGGGATGTTCTTCGCTGGAGTACCCTGTCAACCTGCATTCTTAGTGCACTCCAAACCACTGCCTGGTACCCCTACATTCCATATGGTTTTTGAGGAAAAGGAACAGTTCTTTGCAGCTTTTCTTACCTTACTCCTTCCATGTCTCTGTAAAGTATCTGGTTTAGGACATATGGGGCATCATCTGCAGTACATGCCACACAGTGTAGGAGAATCTGTCCTCGCTCTGGTGAGACCTGGTTCTCTTCCAAAAGGGCAATATATGCACTGATCTTCTTGTTATCCCCATGGGCTTCTGCATCCTAGCAACCAAATGTTTCCCATTACATTATGTGCATTAGCTACTGGCCATTACACTTATTTCATGCACTTATCACTTATCTCATTTATGCTGAGATGCTGTTCTAGGTCACTGATTTTATATGTCAGGCACCAACTGTATGACATGTATATGTCTATGCTGTGATTGCATCTGACCTGAACACCCCGTTACAAGCAAAAACACCTCGTATTTTGATTGACAGGGAGAACGGATTTCATTTTTGCTACTGCTAATGGAGACTAGTTCATCTAAAAATAATTTCTAATTATAACCTATGTCTAAGCAAAACTCCTGTTGATTTCATCTCCAATGGGAGATTCTTTTGGCACAACCAGACAAACAAGTGCCAGAGTTGTTGGCTTTACAAATCTGGACAGTATTACAAGAATGCTTCAATTCCTACAGTACTGCAAAGGGAGAGAAGTTTTGCTCTGAGGAGGACTTTAATGGCCAGGATAAACATCTAAAGTTGCATCTGGAAGTAAAAAATGAAACCATTCCCACTACAAATTATCCATCTTTGTCACAGATTGAGTCTCTTGCATTTCCTCTCAGAAGTGCTAAAGCTAAAACTGTGGATTTCCACATTTGATACTACTCAGGACTCCAAAATGTGAGACAGTAAGTATTCGTGAAAGGTATTCTGTGCTGGCAAAGCATGCACAAGAATTCCTGTATCTTAGATCTGACCTGTGCATAACCACTGGCTCCCCTGAACGTGAGCTAAGGGCTGAAAAGCATAAGGAAGTCCAGTCTTAGACCAACTACTCACGGTATCTAAGAGTTCCACTTAAATGCACCAGGGTCTGAAGACAGTGTCACTCTCCTAACTGAAAAGACTCTCATGCTCCCTGGAGTGCATACCTGGGAGAGGGTCTTAAACACTGCTTTGTAAACTGGTTCCATTTTTGCTCCACTGGTCTCAGCTGCTTGCTGGATACTGTGCAGCCATTTTCTCCTGGCCAAGCGTCGCAGACCCTCCATATGACTTTGTTCCACACTTGTGGTCAGAAACTCCACTATGTTATCAATGACTTCATCCGCGTTCTCAGTTAACTCAGAAACCACTAATTCAAGATAAGCCTGGAATGTCTGCGGGGACAGCTTCTCCATTCTGCTAGGCTGTGGGTAGCGTGAGCAAAGGTGTTTCTTTGCTAGTAGAAGAAACAGAGTAAGACAGGGACAATCTATATAATCGCTATACAATCTATCATATTTTTTGCTTTCCCTGTGCAAAATATGAATCAAATCCCAAACTAGCTTCAGGTAGAATGCTCCAGTCCCTCATTCTGGTTTTCTTCCAGCTATCTCCTAAACATATTGCCATCATGACGGGTAATCTCCAGCTTCAAGACTGGAGGTACCTTTTCCTCTAGATGCCTGCAGCTTTACACGCTGAGAAAGAAGCCTGCAAATTGCTCCTGTGCCCCTTTTGTACCTCTGCAAGACACCTAAACAATAAAGGTCAATAGAAAATAGGACAGCTGCTTGGAGATATCAAAAATCAGAGGGACCTTTGCATCAGAACTAAATTTTGCGGACACTTGAGGGGCTGGCGGGACTTGGCTCTAGGTAGAAATGCAGCACACTGCAATAGTAACCAAGATTTTAAAGCAAAACTACTGACCACTCCCATTAAAAATATGAAGGTCAGAGCCTACAGATGATTTCACATATCACTCATATTCCTGGATTTTCCATTGTATAAAAAACTTGCAGAAATTTTATTTTTCTTTTGAGGCCTTCCAAAGTAACCATCATTCTTAATTACCCTGCTTTGGGTGCCTGTGATGAATTATTGAAACAACATTTGTACTGTGCTAAATCTCATAAATGAAGATCAAAGAAAACGAAAGCTTTATTGAAGACATACAACAGATGGGACAATGGTGTTGGAGAATCACCAGCAGATGTGGGTGTGGAGCAAAACAAACAAGAATACCTGAATCAGAGCTACCAAAAGTGGCTGGGTTTAGAAGAATGAATTTGTTTGAAAAATGTCTAAAACATCACAGAGCCTGTTAGCTCCCAGGGGAGTGAAGGAGTAAGGATCACTGCATGGAGGCTACTCTTTCTCATTTGTAAAAAGCCAGGGGCATGGAGCAATGCTCCAATCCTGTTTCTCATATCCCAGGGAATACAGCTGAGCTGGCCCAAATACGAGCACATAAGCTGCAGTGGAAAGGCTTGGCAGAGTTTCCTTTTCCCTTGGAGGAAGGAGGATTGCAACAAGGATCTAACTGTGATTATCAAGAATTGCTTTCCTGTATCTACTCACCCTAGTTCACAAACTTCCAGTTTTTCCAGAGGTCCTGAAGACAAATAAGACAAATGAGGTTTTTCCTAGCCTTGGAATACTAACAGGCTGAGCCTGAAAATGTACATTTACTTTAACAGTTTCTATTCAGTTATTACTTAAATCAGCAGCCAGTCCAACAGGAGATTTTCTGATTTGTTCATCCCCATAACAGTTTTTACAAGATCTGATTCTGTTCCTTCCCATACTGCAGATCTGGACTCACGGGGGTGCTCTTGTACAGTTTTTGGAAGTTGCAGGTCAACTTCCTGGCTTTGGAAACCTGGGATTCACCAAGAACTCTGCCGACAGCTGTACTTGCCTGATCATGCCCCTGGCACTGCCTCTCCTGAACACGGCAGTGACTAACGCTTTGACCATTTTTTCTGCATCCTGATTTCAAATCCTGCTGGACCCAAAGAACTAAAGAAAAGGAAAGAGAGCTATTTGTCAAGCCGCTTCCTACCAGCAGACTAGCAATCAGTGATGTATAGGTAGAACTGTGAAGTTTGCTGCTAAGCAGGGAGTATTTGTGATCAGTACACAGCACATATCAGTACATATTAGCCTGTAAGGATCAGGCTAATAGAAAATGCTCTGATTAGTGATGCACAAGAACGGCAGGAAGCTGCCTGATGCCCTGACTGCCTCTTGGTGCAGAAAAAGACACATTTTACAGAAGCTGAGAGTCTCTTCTTTCCCTCTCAGAAATCAGTGGGCATTTTATCACTGATTTTAGCTGTAGCAATAGCATTGGTGAGTAGTGGTGACTAACCAGCCCCACTCATTCTGGAGCTGACTCTTAATGTTGTCTTATTCTGCTAGTCATCTAAAGAATATTCCGAATTCTTTAATGTCATTTCTGATTTTCTGACAAAATTAGGATGGAGAATTTTCTGATGATATACAATTGTTTGGATTTGACCTCTGCTTTTTCCTCCCTTTGAAGAAAGAGATAAAGAAAGAAATACACAAGAAGTTGAACATTTTTCCCCCTTCAATCCCAGTGTTTTTCCATCAAAAGAAAAAATGTCTTTCAAAATGATTATTTGTGGTTAAAATGGCATTTTAATAAAAAAATTACACGACCAAAGTATTTCTACCAGTTCTAACAGGACACCACGTGTTGCAGGAAGGGGATCCCTATGGTCATCTACAGAGGAATATGACTCATAGCACTGCCAGACCCATCATCTGCAATGCTGAAGCCATACGTGGTTCCCAGGCTGTTGTGGGTCTGCATGCACAAACAATATGAATCGTTCCTTGAGCCGAGCAGTGAAAGAACTGCTATTTGTTTGCGCTATTCTGACAACCATGTTAGCGTCTCATTGATAACGTCACTAGATTTGTCCATTATTTTGGGGGATCTGTGAAGTTTGGGCAAGGACTTGAGAAGCAGCAGGATAATTCTAGCATATACAGCAAGGATAATTCTAGCATATACAGCAGTGGGCAAGAAAAGGCAGAGTTGGTGCTAGTTCTCCAGTTAGAGAGATAAAAATAGGTTCACCATCTAAAAGAGAAAAACTGTTCTTCCCTGGAAGGCTCTCACAGGAACCGGAAGCCCACTGGCAGGATCACTCCCTTCATTAGCAAGGCACAACGTAATGAATTATTTGGCACAACTATATATGTGTTGATACACTTTCACTTACAAAGAAAACCAAATATTTCAACCCACTTTTCACTCTGTACTTTCATCCAGGAGGAATGCAATGTCTGTGAGCCCCTCCTTCAAATCTTCTTGTTCCATGATTTCTTTGAGAGATTAGGTTGAAGCAGCTAGAAATAGTTTTATGTTGCTTGTGGTATTGATTTTGCTGTATCATTTTTCTATTCATTTGTCCTTTAGCTTATGAGGCCTTCAGGGAAGGGACTATATCCTTCCCTATTTCTGTAGTGTGTTCTGACATACCTTTGAGTATAGCAGAGCTGAAAATCACCCCGCTTCTGTGGCTGTACAGCCTGGAGACAACTGACTGTAGCATGCCAGTGACTCCCCACTCCCCAGCTGCCTCAACTGAGGTGGTTTGCAAAAAGAGGATTTTCAGTAATGCATGGCTGAGTGAGTAATAAGGAGATGTGCAAACCTGAAGCACTGGGAAGGAAGGACCATTAAGGGCAGCAGTGTTCAGTGCAGACTTGCCCCCCAGATCTCAGATGAATAAACCTATCCTCTCCACCCAAGCACAAATACAGACATGTTCTTAATTGCTAATACAGTATTTCAGAGGGCATAATGTCTACATGTTAATATGTATGAGGCTGTCAGACAGATCTAGGTGAACCTGCTGCACTTCTGTCTGACCCAAGTCTGCTTTGTCAAGGACCGAATGAATTTGCTAAGTTTATTGAGAGAAATGAACCAACTGAGAAATGAGACTCAAAGTTGCTATCTAATTCATGAGATCTGTGCAACAGTGTGGATTACTAAAGGACATTTGAGACCCATAAGGAAAGCCGGTGCTCTCTCCTACAAGAAACATTCCTGCAGACAGCTCAGTAAAATGTATCTGTTAAAAATAGCTGGATAACACAGGCTAGACCAAAAGCGCAAAACATGTATCTCCAGGCTTGTGTTTTGTTTTTCACTGCCATATCACAGAAACTTAATGCTTATTAAAGCTGAAATCATTTTTCAACATGTCCCAATATCAGGAAAGCATTGTACTATCTCTCTGACTGGGGACCTGACTCTCAGAACAGTCTTTCACAGGAGGAGGGTATGGAGCTATGTATTAACAAGTAGGTCTGAATAATTGTTGCTTTTCATTTTATGCATCATACCTTGTACACTTATGCTTGCAAAACCAACAAATTTCTGGTGCTTGCCCACAACTTCATTAGTACTGTCACTGAATGCTTGAAGGCCTACTGTCTTGACACTGCTCCTCTCTCAGAGCAGAGCTGTTTTCTTACCATTCCTCAAGGCCTTTTTTTCCATTCCTTCTTTGAATGTGCTTAGAACAGCATCTACCTCTTTCAGGTCCAGAAACCCAGATCCGTTGTTGTCCCACTTTTCAAAAAGTGCCTCCAAAAGCAGTTTCCGTCGGGCCAAGAGAGAGATGAGGCGAACCTAGAACAGAGAAACAGCTGGTCTTTGGTAATTCCTGGACATTGATGCTCAGATTCTACACAAGTATGGAAACTGCAGTAGTAAGCTGTTCACACAATCCCTATTGGCCAGGCCAATTCCATAAATATACAACTCGGACCTGGAGATGAATCATTAAACCTGAGAGATACTTGAAAACATCAAACAGAGCTGACAGGTTAGTTTTACCAGAAAGAATCAGCACTGCAAAGGGTCACTTTCCAGTGAACAAATGAAGCCCGTGCTAGATCTAAGGTGAGATTAACTCAGGTCCTAAGTGGCAGTTTCCCAGAATACAAACATCTTCCCAGACAAAAACAACTAGAGCTTTGTTAGTAACACCCAAAGATTTGATAGCTTGTATTTCTGTGCATTGCTGTTGTGTCAGTGCTGTGCTGAAGTGTGTGGACTCCAAGAAACTGCATGTGCAACTTGTTCTTTAGAACCAGTATCTCCACAGCACACAGTGATAAATGGCTTGGAGTGGAATTCTCTCAAAGGCCAGAATAGTGGCATCATGTATTGTGTTCAGCATGAAGACAGCAGAGCCGTCAGATCCAATATCTCATCCAAATTAGGTCAGCAGCACAAAGGGAAACTAGAAAGAGGTCTGAGGAAACTGCAGCTACGGAGGTTTCTATGGATAGACCCACCAAGAAATATATCTACGCTTTGAAATGAAATGGGGCATCCTGATGCCATGCACAAGGGTATTGCTGAAGGGGAATATATTTATTCAACAGATGGCAACTGCTCCTTGCAACTTAAACATAAAGATGTAAGTGCCCATTCATACACACCCATGCATGCATGCAAAAGCAAACATACTTATTTAAAACCCTCCCCAAAACATCCACAAACTCATATGTACATGTCAGTGCAGTAGGTCTTGTGCAGTTCTTGACTGCCATAGAGGTGAATAAGCGAAATAGAATGTTTTGAGCTCTTTCACAGCTAACTATCCACTTGCTGTCTCACTGAGTCCAGTTCCGAAACAGGCAGACAACCTGTCACAGGATTTGTCTGTCATCACTTCTAGAGCTAAGGGCTAAGGTAGGTGAATCCATACAAAAACAGAGGGGCAAAAGAATGCAAGACAGCAAGCGAATAGCTCTGCCAGTATGAGATTAAGAATTGACTTTGTAAGTGTATCTTGTTTTGTGTTTGGACACGGGATCAGCAAAGCTCATCAGTATTTACCTTCTTCAGTTGTTCCATCTTTTCCTCTTCTGTCTGTTTGTATTCTTCTTTGATAAATGCAATAAGCCTCTTCACGGTAGACAGAGAAGTGCCTTTACCAACAAATGTCTCCATGAGCTGGACAAACTGCGGCAGGTTGAGGCAACTTTCATCAAAAGCACTCATAGCATGAGAAGTACCACGGCTCTGAATCTCTGCCATGATTGGACGCAAGTCTGAAAGGCAGAAAGCACAGTCTGTCGCTGGAAGCTAAACGCTGCCCTAAAGCCAGCCAAATGACAGATATCAAAGCAGGGCTGAATCCTGCACTTCTTATCCAGTGAAAGTATGACCGAATACAGATTGACTCCATGCGGACTAAAGGCCTTAATCTGCTTACACTTTCTAATAGTATCTCTTCAGTCTTTTGCTCCAGCCTAGCATGGATATTATTGTACAACCAGGTCACATCACTGAAAATAGGTGAGCTGAAATTGCTGTTATACCAAAAGTTGCCTTCTGAGATAAAGGCCATACTGTTCTCTTGATCTTGAAGTCAGCTTCAGGAACCAGTGTTTGTGTTCTCTCCAAAACTTTCAGCTCACAGGAGTAACAGCACGTGGGCAGACACTGCCAGTCACTATATCTCCAAGTGGACATACAACTTTGTGACCAAATACCTGGAAATCTAGAGTTCTCACTGTTCCAGTCCTCTGGAATTCTCTCTCCATAGCTGCTATACCTGAAACTTAGGTCAGAGGTCAGAAGGTCCCCTGATGAAAGACAAAACATATTGTGTAAATACACAACCTTTTTATAAGGATAAAAGATACAGCTTTTTTAAAGGCTGTTAAATACATATCCAAGCATAGTCTAAAGCAGATGAAAAGAGCTGATACAAGCAGTCACCTGACCATGGCATCCCATCTATCAGTTGTTCTGCTTTTTCAAACTCCTGGCTAATTTTGGCTTGACATTCCTGTCCGTCTGAGAGTGCTGGACCTGCAATTTCAAAAAGAGATCGTCTGTGAACCAGAGCTTACTAGTCTGAGCACCCTGCTGATCCATATGTAAAATCTACTTCTATGTCTCTGGAGTTACCCTTGTTATCAATAGTTATTTGTTTTTACTGCCTGGAATATTGCTTCCTGAAACTCATCTAGTGACTGTTACATTTCTTAAGCCCAACTAGAAATATCCATTTTAGCAACAGCAATAAAATAGCCTTCAATGTACGTTCAATATGATATCCGGACTTCTTGTTTCCCACCCACCTTTCTCTGAAAGAGCATCATACTGTCATGTCGGTGAGAACAGGGTGGGAATCCGCTCTGAAGATGGAAGGGTAGCATCCCTCAAACAATGCTGTGTATGTCCAAGGGACTGGCTGAATAACAAGTTAGTGCTCTATACTGGAAGTTAATCACACAAAGCTGTAGATACCAGTGGGCTGTACTATAAGCTTTCCAGCCCTTTACATGCTAAGTTTGCTCCACAAGACTGGAGTGCAATGAAGATCCAGTTCTTGCATTGTTTTAAGCTGTGAGACACAAAACAATGCATTCACAGAGCAGTAGTAAGGAAGCTGGTCTTCTACTATGTTTAAGAAAGCACCTCGTATGAAAGACACAGTTACCCAACCACAGCCTTCCTAGAACAAGGGCCTTTGTATATAATTGAGATGTACGGTATTCCTTGGGAAACACAGTGAAAGATTAAAATAAAAGGTTCATGCTATATGATCTCATAACATATCTCCCTATGGACCCTCACATTCTAATAATTATTAAAAGATATTTCTATATTTAACATGCTCCTGCTCTGTCTCGCCGTCATAATATTCCAGAATGAAACAGAACATAAAGTTTCTCCTTATTATAAAACTGCTGCTGCTCCAAAAAGTCCCTGCTTCATTTAAAGAGCCTGCTCAGTGCCTCGAATACAGATCAGCAGCAAAGTGACTCGCTTGCTGTCCTGAGAGAGGAACACACTCTGAAATCCTGACAGCAAACACCATGCCAAGAAGGTAACAAAGCTTATGGTCTTGCCTACTCAGAAATTACTCACATGCTTGCACTGGTTTTGAAATGGATTAAAAACACACCTATAGTTAAACCAGTGCAGATGAAGACCTGCCACAACAAAGGAGAATGTTTTACCTTTATCCTGGTCTTGCAAAAGGTCCTCAGCCTGCTGTCTTGCCTCTGAGCTTGCCCGTCTTCCAAATTGGTTGTCATGCTGCTTAAAAAAACTCTCTTTTCTTGCAGAAGTTTCTTTCTCAATCACAGCTCCTTCTTCTGAGGTCATGCCTGTAGCTTCAGGTATTGGTCTTGGAATTGTTTTGGTTGGCTCTGCAATCCAATCGTCCTCCTCCTGCCTAACTTGCCCTTCTGTGCCAGGTTCTCTATCCAAGATCATATAGTCTTCTCCCATATTTGTTTCTGGAACTGACTCTCTACCCAGGCTGAATTCGCCCTCCTCCATCTGCTTTTCAGATCCAGGTTGTCCATCTCTAGTGACATAGTCTCCAGTAAAGGCTGATCTTGGGAAGGATTCCTCCTGGCTGTCTGCGCTTGCAGATTCAAATTGCTTCTCAGTTCTGGTGTTTCCACAGAAAGTAGATTTCTCACTAAGGATTGTATCTCCATCCAAATCACTAGGTTCAAAATCAGTGCTTTCCATCATTGACGCAGGATCCTCACTTTCCTCTCTTACCTCAGCATCCCTTGGTTCTGTTTTCAGAAGCACAGCTGCTGGTTGGTTTTCTTCCTTAGAAATCTCTCTAGTCCCAGCTTCACTTATGTCCATTTGTTCAAAAGGATCATCTCTGACAGTAGCACTCATTCCATATGTGCCATCACCTACAGGTTTGTATGCCAAAGTCTGTTCCTCAGAAATTTCTGTTTGAGATAGCGCAGACTTTTCACTGAATTCCTCACAAACTTCCTGGTCGTCAAGACCTCCCCATAGATCTGCAAGCTCAATCTCTTGCAGCTCAACTATTGGCCCTAACACAGAAAAAGGGTTGGTAGGTTCATAGTTTGCATTTGTTTCATGTTCTCTGGTATCACATAAGAAAACAAGAAAAAAGGCATTCCAAGCAGATATATACTATTAGAAGGTATCCCCTGTAAACGTGCATACTCAGAAATTCGAAAAGTTGGAACAGTACCTCTACCTGCAGAGAATTTTTCTTGTTATCAAGTGTGTATTATGCCACATTTCTTTTGAAATTGAGGTCATTTTTCATAATTCTCCAAACTAAAAAGGAAAGCTGTAATTTCCCTTGCATTTACTCTCAACAAGTAATTAATGTCCAATATCTGAAAAATATTTTACTTTCATGTAGATGATTCTCCGTATTTTTTTTATTCTTCCATCCTCTTGGAGAAATTTTAGTGTAAGTATCAAATTAACTTCTAATACTACCCATGAGGAAAGAACAATTATTTCAGGGAAAGTAGTGTTGCTTTAATCCTACTTCCAAAAATCATTACAGAATTTTGTATGAAGGAAAAGTTTTGGATGTTGGAAGTATTTCTGAACATTTTATCACATAGTTTGCAAAACATGCTTGCAAATGATGGTGTATACGTCATGTTCATTTAGGCTCTTTTATAGGCTTTTTCTATCTCTGGTAATACTTACAAAACACACATTAACTATACAACTTCATGTGACCTCCTAATGTTTTAAGCACAATTGAAACATTCCATACGCTTACATTGTCTTGGGTTACAGAGTCCCCTCTTGGCAATCACAGGGCTTCTGTCATAGAACTCTTCCAGTAGGGCAAGTACTATTTGCCTATTTAAGAGACCAACCTAGACAAAAAAGTTACAATTATTAGTTCCTCTTTTTTTCTCTAGTTCTTGTTGCTTGCATCAACATTGACTGCACCACAAAGGCATCTTGTCTGTAGAAGCTAAGAATTAACTGTGGCTGCAGTTTACCATTAGCAAAACATCAGTAAAAATTTCAAAGTAGTCAATTTATTTCATAGGGAGAAAGATTTCTTCTCTGGGCTTAGCTGGAACTCCTCATACATATTACTTTGCAGGCATATCCTATTGCATACTCCAGACAACTTACAGTTTGATGATTGTGACCAATACTGCCAAATTAATTCTTCATGTAAAGATCAAAGTAACAACATTTCACTCTTTCAGGATAGATCCTGATTGCCTGGCAGTACTATGGAGGGATTTTCATTTATTAGGTGCTGTGCCATATAACGTTAGCCACTGTGCCTTGTGGTTTGGTGTTGTACCCCATCATTTCCTTTGAAGCATTAAGTATTGGCAACGCCTGTGAAAATAATTAAGCTATTATGACAACCCCCTAATTTCCTCTTAAAATTCATACACATTTGACCACAGAGGTGAGAGAAGTATCAGTTGTTCCAGTGCAGAGGAACATGCAGAGTTTATTAAATCCTTGTTGCTCAGAGTGAGTGTATAAAGACAATAAGATCAGGAAAGGACAATGAAATGGGTCATTTCCAATCAGGAAATCATGAGTTTAAAAAGTAAAGCAAATCTAAATGATTGCAAATTCTTCATTTTATGATGAATTCCTGTTGTCGTTATTTCAGGCCTGCCACCTTTATAATTTCCCGCTCATTAGTGAAATACAGTAGCTGATTAGAGAACAAATTTACTTAAGTTCATTATTTGTGGCAAGCAGTTTTCCATTTGAATTATTGACTTTTGACATTTTGCTCTTGGAGTAAAAATTGCAAAATATAAAATTCAGCAAGCTTTTAATTCTGTGTAAACATTTTCCTGCTCTTAGTGGAAAGAAATAAATGAAGAATTTTGCTGCCGTATTCTGGAATGAGCTCAGGATGGCTGTGTTGTTTATAATCTAAGACTGTAAGTATTACAATTGTGAGGAGCAAACGATCTGAAAACAACTCATAGGTGCCCATGACTTATTGGTGAAGCGCCTCCCAAGGAGGCTAATATTGAAAATTAAGAAAATGAATACATCACATTTTCTGTTACTGTGACACCTCTCCTCTAAAGTGGATTGAAATCTTTTTACAAATCTTTTTACAAATTCTGAGAAAAGGAACAGAACTGAAGTGTAACTGGCCACTTAGTCCAGTTTTGGTCTTTCAGATTCATGTAATTTAATTCCTGCTAGTAAAAGAAAAAAAGCTGGAAATTATAGTTGAGTTTCATCGACATGTGGATTTGGAATAACAAATATCATCACATAGTTCTGTCTCTAAACTTACAAGATGTAAGCCATGATTCCAAGTATCTTCATCTTCTTAACATTAATGTACAAACACCCCACAGTCTCCCATGCAAATATTTCTTTATGCTGTTTGTTTTTCTATCAAATATCTCAGATGTAATTCTCCATCTATTTAACAGAAACACAAACACAGAACTATCATGGCAAATTTTTTAAGATGTTAGCAGATCACTGCCTAATATTTGGATTCTCCTTTGAGTATTTCCTTTACACATACTCAATTTTCTCTTTAAATTTTCTCAGCTGTTGCTTGTCACAATCATCTACTGATTGCCTTGAAACTGGCAGCACTAATGCAAAGCTTTGTTTTATTAAAAAAGTAAATAAATGAAGCATTATTAAAAATGAAATAAAAATGTAATTCTTGGATTCAGATACTTTTTGTCATGTTAAAATAATACACTCTAGGGGATTTAAATAACCCAGATTCTATGAAGAGTTTTTTCTGATTGACTGAGACGAAATCATTTTATTTTTCTATATTGCTAAAAATAGAAAAAGTTTTTTTTTTTTAAGAAAAGATATTACTGAATCTGAATTAGGAGTAGATATTCCATCTTGTTTTAACATTTATGATTTATACAGATTTGCCATTCTACCAGAGGTCTCTATTATTTCAGGACACTTTTTCTTACAACTTAATTTGGAAAGAGGTGTCACAGTAAAGCTATCTATAGAAGGGAGGAGTTTTATGACAGGAAAAATATTTTCAATCCAGTTGTACTATCTTTATGAGATCCTAAATTCAATAGAAAATGTCATGTTTCTTTGTACTTCATGCATGACTATGGAGGCTGACGAAAGATCATACTGACTTTTCTTGATCTGCAGGACAGGTACAGCATCCACTATAAATAACAGCAGGCCATCTGTGTTTGTACAACGACTCAAAACTTGCCTACACTTTTAACTGGTGCCAACTGCAGGGGCTAGAGAGTTGAAATGCATTGACCTGATTTCCTTGTCTTATAGATATTGGCAGGTGACGATCCTTAGCTGTTTTCAGCAGTGTTTTGTGATTAATTCCTTTAGTGGCATAGACTATAACAGATCGTTATCATTTGATCAGTGATAGGTAAGTATTTAACTGCTTGATTGTTTTTCTGGAAACTGGACATGTATATCTTGACCACCACAACATCCTTGCTGATGTCCAAGATGGGAAGAATAGACAGCCACAAAAGGTCACAAGAAGGCAAACTTTGTTCTTGTACTGCAAGGAAGGTAACAATAAGTGTCTCAGAACTGCAATGTTTTGAAAAATAACCTCTGACTAGATTCAGTTACATTTTAAGATCCTGGGCTTAAAATGTCCTTGAAAATTAACGCAGATTGTGTTATAATGTCAAAAGAAACTATATTTGACATACATTAGCACAGATGCACAAGGACCTTAAAATTCAAAGAGCCATCTCCTTTTTGGGCATTAGAGCAGTGATTCAATTTTTTTCTGGAGTTGTCTTGGAATGTAACGGCTTCACTATATAATCCAGGCTGTTGTTGCTGAGCTGCCATCCTCTTGGATGCGTGCATTTGAAATCATAATAACAATCATGTGGATACCTTCTAATCTGGCTGTAATTTGAACGCTGCTTTCTCAGCTCCCTGGCCCTAATTGCAAATCACTGAGACAGCCAGCCACACTCGCTATGCAGATTCGAATAACTGCGTGCCACCAAACGAATGTAAATTAGGAACTGAAACAATTGCTTTGCTGTGCTTTGCAGAATGAGAACTACAGGTAATGGATCACATTCAAATGGTAGATGTCTTTAGGTTAGTTTGCATCTAACACAGACTAGCAGAAGATCAGGTCAAGTTTAAAAGAACTGCACGGTCCACGCTATAGTTTTCTGAACTAAATTTGGGAGAACAAGTCTACCTCAGAGGCTAGAAACAGCAGCCCTGTTTGCACTGTGATCATTTTTTTCTGGGCAGTGATGACATCTGTGCTGATAGCTGCTCACTCTTGTTATGCTGTGCTAGAATTTTTGGCTCTCTGCCTCTGAGATTCCCCTGGGATTACTAGCATGGAGATGGTGATTACTGCCACAGAACTAATAGGAAGAAAATAACATTAAAACACAAAAGAGAAAGAAGGGTAGCTTTCAAAATGCAGGGCAAAGACAGGGCTCTGCTTTACATATTACACTACCTAGGACAAGCCATCATAGCTCTTCTTGATGGGGCAACAGGAAAACTAAATGTCTTCTGACTGAGAAGCAGACACATGTCTTTCCTCATCTCCGAAATAACAGCTTGTCTGCCATTCTCTAAAACGCACTATCGGTGTTGAAATGTGCTCTGTAATCCCATTCTCTTAGAAGTAATGACACTATTAGCATGACATTGTAGAACACAGTTCATTCATTCTGGGTAGGTGTGCTATAAACATCACTAGAGGAGTGATGAATGGAATATATAATACATGTAGCGAGAAAAGTGCAAGATTATGTCAACCGTTTGCTGTGCAGCAGCCAGCAACCGGCTAACTGAGGCTACTCATGAAAAAAGCAGTACTTTTTGGATGAAGCCCAAGTTTTTAGCAATAGCTTATGGCATTGATTCTTCAGCTCCTGCTATTTACTGCTTTTCTAATAACTCTAGAAATGGGGGATTTTTAATGGGGATACAGGTGTATTCAGAGGATAATAGATAGAGTTTAGAGCTGCTGAAAACCAAATTATGGTTCTTGGGTTCCACTTCCAGCTCTGTAACTGACTCACTGTATTTCCATTTCCTGGCTATAAACCGCAACTGATGTTCACAGTAGTTACCGGCGTGAGGCTGTAAAGCTTAGATCATTTTTGCATTTTGATTTTAAACCGCTCTGCAATTTTTTGATAAAAGGACTAGAGATATATAAATTCATGCAACATAATAAACACAATATATATTATTATTGCAGTAATTTATACATTTGTTAAGGTCAACCTATATAAGGTTATCTTTGCTGAAATATGGCTAGATAGAAAAGGTAGCACTCAAATATTATGAAAGTGCTATGGGAACAGGTAATGAGCAGAAACAGTAATGCCCATGGTTAATTTCTTCTCCAGAACCATCGGACTCCAACCCCAGATCATCACTTCGGATCATTCAGTTTCTAATTAGCCATCAGGTTTAGGCTATTGATTATTTCTATGTCTAAGTAAGAACTATGAATTTGAAGACAATGCATCAGCTACTGTCTTCTAAAATAGCAGCTGAGTAAGCACAAATAGAGTACCTGGAAAGCAATGACTAAGGGAAGTACCAAATTGGAAGCATCACCATATGGAAATTAGGTTGACAGTTGCTTTGCCTACCTTTCCATAATCACAGTCTAGGAAGAGATCAGTAAACATTTGCCTCCACATATCATGTCTTATTGTTTCTCGGAAGTCATCAGCACACTGACAGAGATGCTTCAGGAGGTCTTGGAACATGTCACTTGGAAAGTTTTCAATGGTGGAATGGATGTACTACACAGAGAAAGAAGTGGTGTAAATCGTTAGCTTCAAATATTTTCATCTTTATTTGAACACTTAATTTATTGCATGCAAAAAAATATATTGGAATTTCTCTTGCACTTTAGTCTGCTAAAGTAATGCAAACTTGGTGCATGGATGCTACACTGCTTATTTTGTTCTTTCTTTCAGAAGCAGTAACATTCTCCAAAAGAGCCTGGGACGCTGCTGTGCTAGGCACTGAACAAATGTGTATTAAACAGTCCCTCTCCTGGCCCAGAGGTCACTTCTTATGTTCAGTGGCTCAGAGATGCTGGACCAGAGTCCCTCCTGTGAAACATCATTGCATAAGATAGGTTATCTCGGTTCTCAGAAGTAAATTCTCTGTGGTTTTCTGCAACATCTAGTATTTTTGACTTTACCCTCAAGGTAGCATTTTGAGCAATTGGTTTTTGTAGAGCTGACAGTCACTCAACTCTCTAAGGCCACAAAATGACCATTGCCCACAATTACAGTGTTGAGTGAACCAGTCTGGATACAACAACAAAAAAAAAGGGAAAGAACCTTTTGAAAATGAGCATGCTGTCACCTAAGTCCTCTGACACTGGAAATACTACTGAATCAAGATTTATTTTAAGTCCTAGTCTTGGAGACACTTTAACACTTTGGATTTATAGCCATGTGGTTTTTATGAGCAAAAGCAATACGGTTCTAAAAATGTGGTGTGCATGACATAAATAATAACAGCCATCAGAACAAACCACAATCCCAAAGCCTGTGCTGAATTATTATAGCAGGTTTGTGGAGCCAGCCACAGTAACAGGGAGCCTATACAGTCAAAAGGAGGAATCTGCAAAACATAGAATGTTTCCCATTAACCCATTTTTAGAGTACTGAGAGCTAGAGAACCTTTGCTAACATAAGTGCTAGTGCATCTTGAACTTGTTGAAAATGCTGCACAGGGATTAACCAACTGAAATATTAATGTATACTATTATGCATGTCTATATTGCATAATTTCCAAATATAGGGGACAACTGGGGAGGAGGAAGGACAGAAAACAAGCAGTCAATGGCCTGAAGGTGGCTAGTGGGAAAGAAGAATTCCTAAAGCAATGTGAGTTTTCTGCATTTCAGCATAAAAAGAAAGGATGTAGGTGGGTTGGCGAGCGGGTGGCAGATCAGGCGCTACATCAATCTACCAGCTTTTCAGAGCTACTACAACCTGGGGCCCTGTGACAGATAAACCTTAAAGATGACAGCAGTTGGGAGGAGGCAGGTTGGACGAGCAGCTTGTTATTTTTTATGTCATTTTTATGACACATACAAAGGCTTATATGTTAATATTGCTGTCTAACAGCTCCACAGAAATTTTAGAAGCGTATGTTTGCCTATGTGAGCAGGAGGAACTATTGTGGGGTCATAAGCTTTTCTTAGCTGATGTGTGTAAAGCACTCTAGAGTGTAAAGTACTGTGCACATGAAAAACATACATTTATTTATTATTAACCAAGAGATTTCGACACCTCTCAGAAGAAAGCTGGCATACCTCCCTCTTGCTATTCAGTCTGAAGCCTCGCTGCAGTTTATAAACACTATCATCAATAACAATGGGTCAGCTGGGCTTTGCTTTTTATTTCTGCTGATCTCATTAGAAAAGGAGGAAGCCACATGCAATCCCGAAAAATGATCTCACCTTTAAAGCCTGATTTGGGCCCTACAAAGGCCCTTGGTGTCAAAAGCTACGTGTCAGACTGCTAGAAGTTCTGCATGCTATAGTACAAATCCTGTGAAATAAACTATGGAGGTCTTTGGGATCTAAACTCTTTCAATATAAAAGACCCCACCAGCTTGTCACCCAGGATGTACAGATACAAAGACCAACGGTCACTGTTTTGCTTGCCCAGAAAAAAAAAAACAACGTGTGAGGTCTTTCTACTGAGTTTCTAAGAGCCGTTAAGTAACCCAAAGCTGCACTCAATTCAAGGAAGAAAGGAAAAAAAATAAAGCCATTTAATGTTAAGGTCCATTAAAAAGCAATGCTTTCCACATGTGAAAGGGCCTAGATCAGTGTGGGGAAAGATCATTTCTTTTTCTGCTTTTGGTGGATGATGCAAACTGATGAATGAAGGTCGTTGAAGCTGAGGATTAGAAATAGCACTGTCCTGAGAATGAGGCCTATGATTATGGAATAGTTTCCCAAGGGAAGTGATGAAAGCCTCATCACGTGATTCGTTTAAAACTGAACTGGAAAAAGCACCAGAGAATATATTCTGAGAACAATTTTGCACTGGCTGGTAAATTAACAGCTTGTCACTCCAGGTCTTTTACACTTCTGAACTCTCTTCTCTTATCTTTTAATTGACTTAAAACATAGCGTGCACAAAGTATACTTTAAAACGTTCTTCTAATGTTAATGCTGTATGAATTCATCCAGTGCTTATACATGTACTATAAAGGTTATGGACTGATGCTTCATTTCAGTGACAAAAGCAATTCTCTGGGCTCCCATTATCCACAATAGGTTCTTTAATTAAATGCAGTTATTCTGAGGTTAAATTTAAAAATATCTCCTTTCATGCTTAAAAAAACCTTCAACAAGTTATCATAAAAATGCATCTTTGTGCAAAATACTGAATGTGTGAGTCTCCTGAGAGTGAAGAAGGCTCAAAAATCACACATGGCTGCTTGAAATTAGTCTCTGCACAGCTGCTTTATACTCTGTTTTTAATTATCGTAACAGCACCCACTAGCACTGCTGCAGTTTAGGGCCTGTCATTATTTCTATTCTAAACATTCCCTTTCACAGGTTTAATAACCTACTCATAAAATTTAGCTCTGTTGTAGGTAGAAACAGTTGGCAAAGACTTGGCCTGCAGAGTTTTACATAAATTTAGTTTGAACTGATTTTGTTGTTTCCAAATTGATGAAGAGCGGAGCGATGGGGTGAAATTTCCAACTACGTTTCTTGATTTTGGAGAGTTAAAAACATATTTCTGATGTTTCTTATTGACAGCTTTTGATTTTAAAACTGCAAATTTTTCAGCCTGATTCTGCTTCGCATGCAGTTGTGACAACATTTGTTGCAGTTTGGTTGTGGTTCAAGCCAGTAACAGTTCAGGACAAAAATGGTACAGCTTCTCATCCTAGTTAGTCATGTTAAGTTAAGGGATAATATTAATTACCTCAGGGTAATGGTTACACTGGGACACTGAATCTCCTATGCACAGCCAACACAAAATCTGAATCCACAAGTGATTTAAGGTTTTTCTCCTTGCAGTATACCAGAGATAGAGCCCTTTCGCAATCTCAATAGGGATTGAGGGGTTTTCTAAAAATCACTGCTTTTGGAATATCTTCTCGGAGAGCAACACATGCTGCAGCTCTGAGGAAAGCAAAATATTCCCCCTTGCTGGCCAGAATGAAAGCACCGTGACTGTGGAGGATGGACATGGAGATGGAAGTATAATGTAATGTCCTAATACAAGCAATTGCCTGGGATGCTGGAGAAAAAAGAAGCCCTTCACTCACTCATGTTAGCTGACCCTATGGAAATGCTACTACTTTGTGATAAACATCACATTCTGAACCAGATACTTCTACTTCTTTTCTCACCTCTGTGAATTCATCTATGTTTACTTTTTTTTCCAATGTGTCTACGATTTCCAGCTTCCTGTCATAGGCTGCTAGTAGAAAACAAAGGGATACCGGTTTAGAAAGCAAACAGCTGTGGTTTTGCACGTTGTACACATTTTTTGCACAGTGTACGTTACATTACATTTCTTCTCATATTGAATTAAATTTATTTGAGGTTATCTTGTATAGTTTTAACAAACTGGTATAGCTGCCTTAAAATTTTGGGGACAGAGATTCTTCTTTGCAGGAGTGGAATCAGAAAATTATAGTAATTTGCCCAAACAGCTCTGTGGAAATATTCCAACCGACTATGACATTCAAAACTATCTTTCGGCCAGCTTCTGTGCTGCTATCAAGGAACTGAGAAGATACGTCAAATGTCTACATGGATTTCTGAATGAAGCACAGACATGCTATTTCTGTTGGGATTATTTCTCTGTTCTTTATTCTGCAATATATCAGGAATAACAAGAAAGCTCACCACAGAATCCATTTATCTCTCGTTCCTTGGGACATTCCTAAACTACACATTATCTTTATTAAACTATAAAACAAAGCTTAATGTTCTGTTAATGCATATTGGATGCTATTCAATACACTAAGAAATAGAGCAAAGCTCTTAGGGAAATATGGCATAAAGCACCTCCAGCATCTGTAGAGCAAGCATCTGGGCAGAAACTTCCTTCTCATTTTCATATATCAGTCCCTGTTCCTTCTGGAAAGACTCAAGAACCACAGCCACCACACCAGAAGCACAAAGGCTGTGTCTAGCATTTGCACAACATGCTGCTGATCTAGGATGACTACTCAGAGAAACAGGTCTGTAATACAGAAAGGGCTGAGCAAGGGCAAGCTCTAGACAAAGGCTACTTCAGCAGCAAACAGAAGTACAGTCTGGAGGTGCCCTGCTTATCCTCCCATCCTCCAACAAAGACAGATTTGTTATCATTGATGATCATTATATGTTATCTATGTAAAGGGCTGGCAGCAGACTGTATGTTGCCACTTCAATGTTTCTGACTCTATCTATTCAATTATCATTATTCAGGGAGGTCAAGTGTAAACTATAAAGAGGACCAGCATTATGGAAATCCTTTCCATGCTGAGTGCTCTAATATAGAGGCCCTTGTGTTTTATGTGACTGGCATGCCTGTGATTGGCAAAGGGAATGGCTATACAAGATGAAGTATTTTGTGGAACATGTTAGGTAAATTTCAGCATTTTCCCCAAAATCATAAAAGGCAAAAACACCGACAGACTTCAATTTTTTGATCCTGCCTTTCCTCCCCACCTCCCAATATGCCAAGCTGTCCTTAGGATTTCCAAGGCCTCCCAAGTCGCAGGAAACAAGGTGTGATAGGGCAGGTGAAAAAGGAGGTTGTTACAGTGAAAATAGTGATACGCACATGGCAACGTTTGGATACTGCAGGATACAAGCGGAGAGGGCCTGTGTCTGATCATTTTATCTCTCTGAAATATTTTTTAAACTTCTCTCTGTACTTTTCAAAATCATATTGCTGAACCACAAATTGGTTCATTCTCTTTCCAATCTGCCTGAAGATCTGTGGTTAGTAGTTTCCTAGCTGGTGTAACTACCCTTACAGATTATTTGCCGTGATCAAATGCGTTTGCAGTTAGCTCACAGTCTGCATCAGAGTTCAGACCATAGAAATAAAACCAAAGAAGACACTCAAAAATTTACCTTTTCCTGCACCTAAGGGAGTTGAAGCAGTGACATCCAGAAATGACCTCAGGGCACTCTGAACCTACAAATCAAGGTAATAGTCAAATGACTGTTTCGTGCAGACAACAGTAGGCAATTACTATAATCAATCAGCCTGAATGACCAGTTCTGTGGGCCAGCCAGGCTTCCTACCACAAATAGGTAGGCCTTGTTAAATGTAGACCTTGTCTATGTTGTGCCCTATGTAGCCATAGGAGAATTTCCTAGGGGACTTATGTGACTGGAAAGAAAGGTGCTGATACCAATAGATGTATTATGAGTATTTCAGATCTCATCTTTTCTGGGCTGCAGTGCTGATGGCCTGGATCATGGGGGTATAAACAAGATTTAACGGACACCATAGGAGAGCAACAGTGGCTGCCCAGACCTTTTGAAGGGGATGCTGAGGGATAACCAGGCGCACTGAAGGCCATCCAGTGATGAGGTAGGTATCATCTAAGTACTTCAAGGTGCATTTAGCTTCCCAGGACCTCTGTGGAGAAGGCATTGCAATCCTTCCATGTACAACATGGGGTATTAGAGCTCGGCGAGGCTAAATGAGAGACAACAGCTTGCACCCTGATCCTAGCGGGTGAGCGGGTGTCAGGTCAGAGCCCTCCCCCATCCTTCTGCTCCATTACAAGTCAGGCCAGGGCAGACTGCACGATCACAAACTCCCTTTTCCTCCTGTCTGGAATAAATGTAGCAGGATGTTAACAAATATCTTCCCTAGTTACCAGTGCAATCGGTATTCTCCCGCTGACATCCACTGTCCATTCTTTGAACTGAATTGCCAGAGCCTTCTTTCTCTTCTCTTTCACTTGAGACTTTATATTCTCCACCTGCTCCCTTTGCTTACGTTTGCTCTTTGCCTCAAACTTCATCCTGGCCAGCCTGTAGGACACGGGCATATGGTTTAGAAAGCAATCAGTACAAAAATATTTAAGTTAGACTAAGCCCCTCCTGAAGCACAACAAGAAAGGAAATAACTTCACACACTCTTGTCCTTTTAGTACCAGTAGATTTTTCTCCAAAGAAATACTTGATCTTTGGGGCACAAAATTACTAGCACGATTACTGGACTAGATATTAGTAATCCGTGTTTTCAGAGGACAGCTCCCAGGAGGTGAGAGTATTTACATTCTGACACGTAGGGTCTTCTGAAATCCAGGGTAAGTACGAATCTGAAGAAAAAGCTGCTGAATGCTAGATACATGAATGTGGAGGAGCCTCTAGTACAGTTTACGGTTAACATTTAAGAGTAAAATCATCTGTACAACACTGCTAGTTTGTGTTATTTCAACAGTGATAAATTTACCTTCAGTGCTTGCACACATTTATAACGACATTAATCATTTATTGTGTAGATGTCCTCCAATTTTCTTTCAATTTTAGCAGAAGCAGAGGTGCCTAATTTTGCTACACCTCATTTACCAGCAAAACGTGTATTTGTCTCAGAGTCTAGGTACCATTTCACATAAGCACTTCTTCACTGGCAAAGAACATTAAATTTCTCAAGCAGTCTCGCACAATAAACTTTTCCTTCTATTTGAATACATAGAGTTTGCAAGGCTCTAAACTACCTCCCTTTGTTCTTCTTTCTGTTTTCTTTGCTTCTCTAAGCATCCAGCCTTGCTTTTGCCAATCCTCCGTTTTTAATGAAAGAACTGAATTAAATTGATTCTATAGAACTGAGCTGCTTTGGTTTTGACTTATTTCCATTTATGAAATGGAAATAAAATCTTTAGGAAATTATTACAGCTCAAAATGCTAAAAGCCAAAAGATCAGTTCATATGGGGAGAAGGGTCTGAAAAAAGCCTCTTCCTGCTCCCAGAGGTTGTTCGAATCGCTCTGTATTGAGATAGCTGCCCTGCCTATCTCTGCAGCTCTCAGTTACACTAATATATAGCTAGTCGGAGTAAGGCAAGTTACTCCTCTTTTCTCCCTGAGAACACAGTAGTCTGAGGACTACATTTTAACCAAACGATTTTTTGCTCCCTTCCTCGCCCTGTTTTTCACATATTGCGTGAAGATGTGCTGATATTATCCCTGGTCTCTTCTGTTGCTCTGGGGTTATCCTAGAAATTATGAAAACAACGACATTTGCATTAACGAATGGAAAGGCCCGTTTAGCATGTTGTAACAATACCCTTTGATCACAGTAATTTTCATCACTAGGTACCTGTTCTTCATGGCTACTTATCACAGAGGTTCCTTAATCAATAATTGGGTTCCTTAGTCAATCATGGACATTGCACAAGTGCCTGGAGAGGCAGTTCAGCCTCTGGCACTTTTATAGCAGGGGGATGAGTAATTTTCTGTCTTCTGACTCCTTCATAGACACAGCAAAGAGGAGGTATGTAGTAGCAACCAAGCTAAATGGACTATGAGGTTTTTCTTCAATGTATGCTAAAGACAGAAAAAGAAAACCAGACCTAGATGTAGGTCCTCCTCCAGAATGGTCTGCAAGCAGAAAGCAGAGCTAAGGCCATGCTAAGAGCTGCCCAGCTGCTCTGGTGACTAATTTGGACAGAGCTAAGCACAAGTTACGTTACGTACTGCACCTGCACTGTGCTGCAGTTTTGCATTTATTCCTAGAGTCCTAAAACACCAGGCAGGTGCATCCTACGTCTGGTGTCCCTGGCATGGAACAAAACCTTCCCCCTAAAACAATAGTTACAAAACAGGCTATAAAAGTGCTGGGCACCCATGGCACAGTGAGTTCATTTCAGTATTAGACATTTTCAGAAAAGATGAGATGGCAATGATGGTGACTTCTCCCTGCAGAATGAAACATGCTTCTTCAGGAAGACAGCTGCCTGACTCCCACGCAGCGATGGGTGACTCAGACAGGACTGCCATCCCTAGACAAATACAGTCTCTGTTTCAGGTATCAATCCATTCAGATAATGAATTTCTCCCATCTGTTCTCTAGCATTCCTTGACTCTCAAGTCAGGTCACAGTTAAGGAGAGACTGGAGGAAGCCTGAGAAAGCTCACTGAGGATTAGTAAGCTTTAGATAAGTATCTGTGGTGAAATCCTGTCTTTGCTGAAGGTAATGTCAAGGCTTCCAAGAGTTCTGCTGGGGTCAGAATTTCACTCCTGATCCTTCTGGTGCTCATGACAGAGATTGTGAGCCCAGCCTGGCATTTCTGTTTTTACATTTTCTTCCTGCTTAAAAAGCTAGTGACTCACATTAGGAGTCTCAAAATGCTACATGCTGTCAGTAAAATCCTCTGTGCTGCTGTGGTTTAAGAAGCCTATACAAATTGCACAATACAGAGCCATCGCAAATATGTAAATCCTGAGCTACTGAGAATGCAAATCCCATGGTAATACTACCAGCGGATATGCAAAACCTATTACAGCTATGGCTACGTAAATCCCTTGGCAGCGCTGACCACAGACAGATTGATATCTACAACTCCTGTAAGTCACTTCCTGTGCATCAGCTCTGAATCTTTCATAGCTAAAAAATGAGAACCCGGCTCTACGTGTAAATACGGACTTACCATGGCAATGCCAAGATAAGTCACAGGGTAGCCAACACCTCGCATTCTACAGGAAAATGTGACCTCTCCAGAAATAAGCTCTGATTCACAATGAGAGTTAGGATTATTTTAATTTTTAGCAAAATAAAAATTAAAAGGAAAAATTATGTATTTTAATTCAAATTCTTTTTTTTTTCAAAATAAACAACAGATATGGTCCTAAATTTCCAGGAGCCAGAACTTCACTCTCTGTGAAGCAATATGAATGGTGAAAGAGCCCCCAAAAAAAAGGTGTGGCAAGCCTGGGATCTCAAACATTCCCCCACAACAGTCGGTGCTTGTGTGAAAGTTCACTGAAAACCAGATGTTTCCCTAGATCATTTGTTTCAGTGAACTGGCGTTTCCAATATGACTGCTTTTTGTCAGAGAATCTCTTACCACCTCTGCTTGTACTATTACATGTCTCTTTATGAAGAGAAGCCAAAAAACTGAGCTCTCACACACTGACCATGATCAGTGCAGTTATATTTATTTTATTCTGTGAGGGAAAAGGAGGTAAGAGATTGTGTGAGATTAACTTAATACGTAACTTTAGGTGTATTCATACATGGCATGCTCCTATGAATTCTAACAGTATGTAGTCTATAGAGACAGAGACAGAGACTCGTAGGGGGGAGAGACAGAGATTTAACATATTCTTTTATTCATCATAATACTGGGAACTTCAATTATCTTCATTTAAAGTCATGCACAAGACATGTCAATATTTTACTTCCCTAATTTCCTGACACTGAAACCAATTTTCAAACTGTACATACTATTTATGCAAACAAAAGAGACAGCCATTCAAACAAAGTCATTATTCTACACACATAGATACAGAATAAAGTGTTCTAGTAGTAAATGAGTAATTTTGACATCATTCACAATCACCTCTGGGTCTTCTATAAACATAAATGTTCACTTCTATATTTTTCTGAATAGTGCAATTAAAATGGAAGCGTTATTGTTCACCTAATGCACTCACATTTTAACTGTTAAATATCGTAAGATGCCCCAATCTTCATTAAATATTACACTGATGCAAGCAATCTAAAATACACCCAACAAATAAGCCAGATAATAAAATAAAAAAGTTTCTATTTTAAAGGGAAAAAGGATCTGAAAGGAAAGGCTAAAGTAAAAATCCTTGGAGAAGGACTTTCTGTGATATATAGGACGATAGTACTCTTGGTTTGGTAAAGGGAAATCATCCTGAATGAGAACAAAGGCTCATTCTTCCATTAAGTTTGGAAGAACATAAAACACATGGTCTGAAGTGTCCATAGCCTATTGATACTAATAACCTGCCCTAAAGAACTGTCAGTAAACTAGAATGGTTCAAGACTGGTTCAAAAGCCGCTTGCATTCCACATAAGCAATTAAGATAGAGTTAAAGGAATTATTATATACCTGTGAAGGGCAGAATACTGCTTTAAATAGGAATGACTATTGTTTCATTCTATGTGACATGCTCTGGCACTTGTCCTGCTTCTCAGTTTTTAAGGAGGCAACTACCATGTCTGGCACAGTTCTCCACAAGGTACAAGGTGCATTTACTTCCACATTTTGCAAACCAGACGGCCGTCATTCCATTTCTTTTGCAAAACAGGGACTGAGACACCAACTGAAGTCTTGCAATCAGCCACGCTTTCAACTCTCTCACCTGTTTGATGCTGTATCTGGCACCTCAGTTTTTAGCTCCTCTGTGACCATCTTCATTCCTCTCACGTATGGGCCTGGTTTTGTAAAAAAATCGGACTGGGGGTTATGCCTCATCAGATATTCTCCAAGAAAATTAATGGGGTCAAATTTGATTGGGTATTTGTCTGTTGCAAGCATCTTCCTTCTTTCCACTTCCATTAACAGCTTTTCCACCCCTGGGATTAATGTAGGTAGGAGTCTGTCAAGCAAATAGGTGCGAGTATCCAGTGAGTATTTCTCTTTACTGAACCACTCCTTGGACAGCCAGTCGCAGGGCTCTCTCTTTTTTACCTCTTCTTCTTTTGCCTTTTGTGCATGAATCATCTTCACCTTTGTCTCCTGCAGACTCAGAGTTCTCTGTTGTACCTTTTCATAAAAATACTCTTTCCATGGAGCATAATTGCTAAGACACAGCAGCTCATCACTCCTTTGATTTGTCTTCATTTCTGTGACAGTCATATTCTTATCTCCACGTTTGGGGAGTTTTAGACCTGGAATTTGGGCTGCTGCTTCTGGCTGAGCAGCCATACTTCATTCACTGTGACATAGAAAAAAAGTAGTATCTGTTATAATGCCAAAAGATACAGCAGTGTCCTAACAGGTGACACAGGAAGCAAATCTACAGTTAGGAAATAACGAATAGATATTTCTCTGTGTTCCTTTTTTTAATTCTGCTGCTTTGCACTCTTAAATAAATACAGCCCCTTTACTTCAAAGATTAGTAAATGATTTATAAAGATTAATTATGTATCGCAACAGCCCTTGGAGACAGAGCAACTAAATAACTGTGTTCCTCTTTTATGGAAGAAGAAACTGAGACACTGAGAAACTGAGAAATGATTAATTCCAGGTCACTTAGTGAGTTAGAAATCAAGAGGAGAACAGTGCTCAGAAGTCTTGTCCCCTAGTTGTAACCACTGGATTCCTCTTACCCCAATGTCATTATTTCTGTTAAGGTTCCCTTCCATGGCCCCAGGAACTCCAGTGGACATGAGATTCAGGAAGCAAACCACGCAAAGTACCAGATGCCTGGGAATGAGATGTCTGTATCTACACACCTTTTCCCCTTTTTCTGCTATCCTGAATTACCATTTCATCTTCTTCTTTTCAGTAGCTGTTGAAAACTAGGTGGAGGCTCACCCTACAGGCTACTTAATTTCAACTTTTTCAATTTTGTTTCCTCTGCGCATTTTTTTAGAGTAATAAGGAACACACGAGTGTGGGTCAGCAGAGCTCCTAAGGAAACTCTACACCCTGAACTCTGAAACTAAGCTGTTCACCAGCATTTAATCTTGTAGAACATTCTGTAAAAGACAGATCTCCAGAGAGCCTCTATCTCCCTTTACAATTTTGCAAATTGCTTTCTTCCCAAAAGGTTCATTCTGCGAAATATTAGGGAGAAACTGAGTTGCTCATGAGGCACAATTTGAAAACTATTGCTGTTTGTCTCCATACAAAACTATCGGCATCTGTAATGGGATTTACACATATGAAATGCAGCAGAATCTAGCCTAACTATTTAATTCAAAGCATGAAAAATCACCAGCGTACTGCAAAAAACCTAGCCCAGTGTTAAGCAACAGCTAGGGAATGGCGATATTAATAGACAGCCTGACTAATGTCCGTCCAAATTAAAGATGAAACTCCACTCTGAACATGCTGCCACACTATCCTATTTAAGCTTGCATTTGAAAGTGCTTTTCACTAAGACCTTTCAGTATCCATAGCAATACTATTGCTTTTGACGTGTTTTACTCCTCCTACTTCATATTTAAGCATTTGTAGCTGTTCTGAAGAGAGTTTAGCCTTCCGGGAAACGCACAAATGTGATCCACGGCCTTCCTGGCACACCAGTGTAATTACTACGATGTTGACCTTCTGGTTCATAACTACTGCCTAAATCCAAATACTGCTTGCATAGGTAGGATGCTTCACAGCACTACATTTCTGTGTCTGTTTTCTAGATGGGCTTGCTGGCATCTTCTAGTCATTTGTTTGGAATGATGATTACCTGCTGGGGAGTGAGACAGATTTACGGATCAAACTGCCTGCCTGATCCAAATAGACCCTTGTAAAAATGGGAGCTGTTTTTCCCACCAAAGGACATGAGCTGCAAAGGAGTATAGATTTATAATGGTAGAAACAGAAACCTGTCAACCCTGTCAAATTGCTCCTTGCTTAGGTGAGTTTCTTTCAATAAGCAGTAAAACCAGACTTTTTGGTTCAAATTCGGGTGTTAACCAAATGTCCTGGTCACATTCCATATCAACTGGTTTTATTGTGCCAGAATAAACTGTTCTTGCAGTTTCAAATACTTATGTTATTTTTTAACATCCTTTACAAAGCTATTTTGAAGGTTTTGTGCAATGTTAAAGTGGCAACGGCACTCTACTTTATGAGGCGGCTGACTCTGAATGATGATGAATATATTTTCTTCGCTGCTCTCATCTATTTATTAGGATGATTGTGAGGATTATTAAGTGTTTATAAATGACTCTTATGTTCCCAAATGAAAGACATAACTAAGTGCAACTGCTCTATCTCCATTCCATGACGCTGGCATAACTGCAAGAATGAAAGCGAGGCATAGAGAATTATACCCACTGCTTTAATTGTTAGGATAGATAAAGCAGGCAAGAAGGGGATGGAAGAACTTCCAAAGAGCAAGTAGCTGTTAAAATAAACCACAAATGAATGCTAGAATCAGGCCCTGAAACTTGGAATTTCTCAAGGATTACGGGGACAAAACCTCAGTTTGTGTAAGAAGCCTTTGGCTCATATACTGCAATGCAACTGTGCTGATCTACATCAGCTGAGAATTTGGCCCATAATAGACAGAGATCTCAAGGCCTATGACATTCCGGAGTGGAGTCTGGCTTGACTGTCCAATAGTAAGCATAGTGTACAGAGACAAACTTTAGGAACACCCAGAAAATTTGAAATGAGAAGTTTCCGGTAAGCCTTTGTTCAAGCTGTGCACAAGATAAGCTTTTCATTATTTTGTAGGATGCCACTTTCCTGGCTCCTCTTCTGTGAGAGAAATAGTCTTGCTGGAATCCCTGCAGGTACGAAATGATTATCTCTCCGTTTTCTGTACAAGAAACAAATCTGCAAATAAATAAGACTTTTACAGTTTCATTATTATTCTATTAGGAATTTTCCTGAGTGGAATAGGGCAAGGAAAGACTAACATTTGTCCAGGTAAATATTTTGGGAATGTTTGAGTTACAGAAGTCCTTTCAAAAACTGAGTCCAATTTCTTTTAATCTGCTATTGCTCAGAAATAGATTTGCCTTTCCTTAACCTGTTTCAGAGAGAATGTCTATCTCACTAATCACAATGTGCCCAATACCCTTTGAACGCTTGATCTTCTTTTAAATTTCAATTACAATTAAAAAGATTTTCTCTTCTGTTGTTTTCTGAAGCTCTAAAAACCTGTTTTTCTTACCTTTTGAGCAGGTATGAAAATAGATCTTATTCCTCCTGCTTTCAGAGTGGCTTTGCAAATGAATAGGAATTTAATATATGCCCATCTCTTCTCAACCATCAAAAATCTTAAAAGTGAATTAGGGATTTCTCAATCCTGCTGTGGAGCTGGACTGTGAGTTTTACTCCTCTGTGTGTGTTTGCTGTTGCTAAGCAATATTCCCAAAGGTTGCTATGTCTCATCCACGACTCAGAATAGCTGTAGGTTGTCTTTTCGCTTTGGCAGCCCAGTATACTCTTCAGTATCAAACTTAGATCACTAGGTCACATGACTGAAAATAAAATAAAAAAGACTATAAATGGCAACAGACAACATTAAGGGGGGACAAAATCAGAGAAAGAGTCCGCAGGTGCCCAGTGACAAGAGGTTCACCTTCACATTTAAGGATCATGAAGTCCAGAACTACCACAAATCCACAGAACTACAGGGTAAACTGAGGACTGTTTCAAACAGATGTGAGAACCTGAGACAGAAAGAAATTAATTATAAGTCAAATTTTAATAGATATTTGTAGGTTCTTCTTTTTGTAAGAAGTGTGTCACTGTATCAGCCTGCTAGGAAAGGCAGGTACAGCACTAAAAAGGGGGGAATTTATAGAACCATTTTGTAAGAAGACTGCCTTTAAATCAGAATCTAAAGGAATTTGATGAATCGCTTTTCAATAATTTCTCTTATTCTTATATTCATGAAGAATACTATGCAACACAGGGAAAGGAGAAGGGAAAAGAAAAACAGTCTATGAACACCCATGCTGCTCTCTTTATACTAACATAAATCAGGACTGTGCAGAGACTTCATTGATGTTATGCAGCATCAACAACTGGGAAACCGACTGCAATTTCTGCCAGGAAACCAGGTTCACCTAATGCTGTTTCTTCCTCTATATTTTGCATTGGAGGAGGCGTGACCTTTGGATTGTCTACCTGCATGAAAACTCTGAACTGACTTCATCTGTGGTTATTTGTCATTAGGACAGCTGCACTGCACCCTGCCCTCTGGTACAGCATAATTCTCCATTTCACAGGCAAGCTGAGCTTGTCACAAAACTTGAAATAGAGGTTTAATATAAATAACAGATTTTTTACAAAATCTGATACAGTATCTGTGAAAGTCACATTTTGTGTCCAATTTAGGAGCTTTGGAGTTTTAATTTCAGAATCAAAACTGCCATTTTCTACTCAAAGCAAGCTGACCATGACTAAGTCCTGTTGTCTTTTCTCCCAGATGGGCTTGATTTTTCTCCTTTGCAAATCAGAATTTTGTTCCTATTATATGCTCAACTTATACATCTTTTTTCTTGTGTGAAGTATCAATTTTAAAAATACTCGCACTTTTCTTAAAGCTATTGTTTAACTCCCAAACAAAAGCATGCAAACAGAACTTGGAAAGAGGGATCAAAATGGCTCTATTTTTACTCTTCTGAAAGCTGAATCCCATGGGTTAAGTAAACCCTTAATTGCCCCCTATTTAACTTAGCTGTTATCTCTTAATGTTTTCACTAAGCAAAGTGTATCTTTTTATTATGCCACCAAATACTTGCACTGTTGACAAAATAATGGGCTGAATATGTCATCACATATGTTTTGCTGGAATTGCCTCTTCTATCTTTTCTTGTTTTTCTGTGTAAGATACATTTTGGGAGCATTCTGTTGCCTTTTGCAGCTGATGCCAAGATTATGCAACAAAGCCCTGACTATTAGCATAGTATTAGCCCTATTACTATTAGCATAGTAATAATAAAAATAAGTTGTGTCAGCCAGAGAAATGCTTGCAGTGTATTAAAGAAAGAAAAAATTCAATTTTAGGAATGCACACCAAACCAGCTCGTGTATAGCTTTATATGCTTTAAAAGATCTGTTAGGCTAAAGCTACCAGGTGCTGACCACAGCGCTTTTAGCACATGGGAGAATATAGCCACAGGCTTCCATTCTCTTTTTTGCACCAGCCATGATGCTGTGACCACAGACTGCCCTCTAATTGCTCTTTTCAGTCAGAATACATCTGCCTTATAGCTTCCTCCTCCACATTTAAATTCTGCTGCTAAATACCACTGCACATACAAATTATACCTTTCTAATGGCTTGACGAACCATTGCAATCTGTGATTATTGTAGTTAACAACTGATATGTTGGACCTCCAGCTAACTGTAGATATCAACTCCATTATTTACTTGTGGCAAATGATTTTTAAAAGTGTTTGCTGTTCAAATAACTGGAAGTGCTACAGGATATATGAAAATTAGACAAACATCTCTTCTGGAAGCTGGTTCAAATAATCATTTCTTGCTAGTAATCCCTGCATGACTAATTCTCAAAATCCAGAAAGAAACTTATCAGTCCCAGGTGAGCGAACTGCATGAATACTCTAGGAACTTGTAGTCTGCTTATGTCAACACAGATATATCTGAATGAAAGCTAGGTGTGTCTGAAAGCAGACCTGTATTTGCAGGAATCCATCCACTGGAAATGAAACAATAACCAGATATGCTATTTCAGGGACAGGTGAGTAGCATTAAGATTCCTGTCATACGCCAGAGAAAAAAATCTTTCACATCCTCAAGTGTGAGTCCTACCTCCACTGAAAATAATGGCAAAAACTTTACAGGAGCATGGATCTGGCTACCATCTCAACAAGGAACTCGGAAACCACAAAGATTCTCTTTCTGCAAAGCTTCGTGATGCTTTGCATAACCAACATCTAGCACATGCCAAGCATTTGAGTCTGTGCTTCTTATGTTCCCAAAACCTTCTGCAAAAGGATTGCAGTGATGCAGGACAATTTTTATTTGAAAGAATGAACTGTTCTGCCCAGGAGACTTCTGTTTCACAGAAAAAAAAAGAGTAGCTGGTAGAACAAATGTCATATTTGAGTAAAATATAAAGAAAAGCATCCACAATGAACATAGCAGCAAACAAAAATAATCTCTAAAGTTACTAAAAACTGAGTTCCCATGTGCTCCATTATATTGTTGATCAAAGGACATTTTTAGTTAACCTTTTACTTCTGTCCTTTCCAGAAATGGGGTAAGGACTAAATAAAAAGGCGATTAATCTGGTCTGAAAAACATAGGTTATAGAATTCAGTTATCAAGTTGGAGCAAGTAGAACATATTTATAGGAAATAAGTTCTGTCTTCTATTGGTTAAAACATAAATGAAACTATGAGCTAGAGCTCTTTCCAGTAGCCACGCCTAACAATTTTATTGGCCTAGCTACATCATTTTAAAATGTGTAAAAATCATACACGCATTCATTAGCTACATGCAACTCAAAAGCACTTATATAGAAGATGTTTTATCTATAATGGCAGAAGTTTATCTGTACTTGGAGCAGTCTTTGCCAATCTATTTCCATCTGTACAGATACACCAAAACCACCTTGGTGTTGTAGATGAGCCCACAGAGAAGATAAGGCCTTTAATAAAGAAATTGGGAGGGAGGGACAGGACAGGAGGATGCTCTTAAGAAATAATGTTTTTTGGAGAAGTTATAGAATACTTAGAACTAGCAGGGTACTAATTTAAAAGAGGTCTGGAAGGTATTTTCTTGACCTCTCTGCCATAAATCACAGTGCAGTGCTAGCATGCTTTCCATAAGTATTGTGTTTCAAAACAATAACGTGATGGTTATAAAATGCAAGACAACGACTCTTTGTTTATGTATAGGTTGTTGCTTATTCTCCCCATGTGCTCCGATCTCACTGGGGGTTCTTTTGGACTCGTTCACGTTCAAGGCTCTGCCTTGCTGCGTAGCCCTCTGAAGCACCCCAGCAACATTCACTTTCTAAGCCCAACTTTAGTCGAGGTTAATGAGGCTGTCTTTCATCCTCCCAAGTCCACTAGGAGGCAAAACGCCTCATTAGTAACCCTGACTTTCTCACTGTAGTAAAGCACAACTACCAGAGTGCACAGAACCTCCCTGTTGATTATTTTGACTGCAGGGCACTGGGGAAATAGACTGAAGAGCTACTACAGCAGCTTTTCTGGTGCTTAGATTTACAGGGGCTAAGGAGTCCTTCCCAGTCCTGTCAACTTGAGGAGAGGATGAAAGCAATATGAACCGTGTTCTTAAAAGGAATGAATGCGCACTCCTGAAGAGTTCTTGTTCTGTTTGATATTTAGCATGGCTTCTGCTTATCATACGTAGTGTTTTCATTAGATGCCCAAGACAACGCTTGATCCCAATGACTTCCACGCCAACATTCCCACAAATTCGGTAGCACCAGGCTGAAACTGCAAATGATAAACTGGCTTAATAATATTCGGCACTTTGTCTCAGAGTGTAAACTTTCAAGTGGGATTGCATTCTGGGGGTATTTTAAGGCTTAAAATGTCATGTGTACTTATTAGACCATTTTGGGGGGTGTTTGAGCTTGTGCACTGATGTACAAATCAGAATTATAGGCTGCTTGCATTGTAAGAATTAATACTGCTCCCTAACCCAAGGAAAACCAACAACATGGGGGCATTAAGGTACAACAGGAA